GGGGCCGCGCACGGGGGGTCCCTCCCCCGGGGCCGCGCACCGGGGGCCACTCGCCGGGGGTCTTGGGGCCGCTGCCCGGGGTCTCTGCCCGGGGGCCGCTCAGCGGCAGCGCTCCCGCTCCCGGCCCCCGGCCCCGCCCGCTCCCACCCAAACCCATCCAACCGCCCTCTCCGCCCCGCCCCCGCCCGGCCCAATCCCCGCCTCGCCCCGCCCACTCCACCGCCTCCCATTGGCTGCGCACGTTCGGCCCTGGAGCGAGGAGCGCGCGGGGAGCGTTGCCTGGAAACCGGCCAGGGAATCCCGGGAATCCTCGAGGCGCCGGCGCTGCCCCCCCACTCCTGGAGCAGCGGCCGGGCCCGCCCGGGGAGCGGGCACTCAGCGCCCGGCTGCGGCCGCCAAAACGGGCAGGGAAGCAGGCGCGCGGGAGGCGGGCTCCGGGCCCCGGGCAGCGAGGAGCCCTAAAAAGAACAAAAGTGTTGGAAGAGAGGGAACTCATCGCACCGTCACAGAACAGGCTGAGGTGGAAGGGACCCACGAGGAGCGTCGAGTCCAAGCCTTTGCCCGGCACAGCACCGACCCCAAGAGTCACACCGTGTGCCTGAACTCTGCCAGATCACAGTCCAGCATCAGCTTCATGTGCCGTGAGGCCCCACGTGTGTGTTTGCTCCCCGTGTCTGGTGGGAGAGATGACACTCCCTTAGAGTGGAATAAAGATTATCCTAGACTGGAACTGGCAGCTGTGATAAACTGTATCCCGAGAGCATTTAACTGGTAGCAGTTTTCCCTGGGCTCTAGCTTGCTATTTATTATAGTTATTTGCAGACAGGAAAGGGGAGACAATTAAAAAATCTCTTTCTCCTTGCCCCCTCCACAACAAGTTGGAGGACATGTGGGTGTTGAAACATAGCTTAACAAACAGTCCAGCCTTGAGAGAGTGGGGAGAGCACAGGGGGGTCAGTTTAACCATTTGTCTGGTTTTCTTCCTTTCTAAGGAGGATTTATTTTTCTTAGGTGGGAAATTGCCAAAAATAGACAGCAAAATCAGACTGCAGTTCAGAGATCACACTCTCATCTCCGTGGAACCAGATCAAGAGAATGCTGTGGGTACAGTGAAGCCACCCCTGTACATTTGGGGTGGGCTGGGGAGTGCATGTGAGGCATGGGAGTTGTTGCTCTCCTGTGCAAAAGGTCTATAAGGGTCATGCAGTTACACTGAGCTGGATCCTGCATCCCATTAGGGTTTGTTAGGATACTGTGGGGTTGTTTGTTGAGTGATATGGCACATTCCAACCTTATGTAGCAGTTCGTTTGGATACATGTCCGGAATAAAGACAAGTGCCAGAAATACTCAAACACACAAAATATCTTTTATTACAGTGAGAATAATAATAATAATAATAAACTTAGCAAGAGGAATTAAAAACTAAAAAAAAAGGATACAAAATAACTATCTTATCGGGTGGCATTAAAACAAATACTACGAACAGCATTTAATACAGTATTAACTAGTGAAAAGGGATACCAAAAAAGGATCTTAACACAATATTATGGATAACACGATATTGGTTAGTAAAAAGGGAAACTAAAGGAAAAATACCATAAACATAAAAGGGGAATTAAAGGAACACTAAAAGGATATTAAAAAGTTTGTTCTCTCAGTTGCTTCCTGTCAATAAACTGTGCTTACCCACACAGACAGGCCAGGGCTGCCAGGATCTGCAGCAGCTGGTCGGTGCCCGTGCTTAGCGGGCGTCCCCATGGAACAACACAGTCTCCATGGCAGGATGAGGATCGCTCACCCCAGCAGTCCTGACACCCCATTTTATCAGCTCCACATTACACCACGTAGGGCCAGTACCCAGTATAAGGTGATGCCTGAGTGGCAGCCAAACCCCGCCTGTTCATCACCTGATAGCAACAGTCTGTGCATGCCCTGCTGTAGGGCAAGGGGCCAGCGACCCCTGCCCACAGAATCTTCCTCCCATCATCATCTTTCTCACCCCTATGTATGACCTCTACCACTGTGTTTCAAGGGTAGATGTATCTATCTTGCAATATGTAGCAAAACCAAGGAAGAACTCAGCTCTGATAATAGGGGATATCAGGCTGACTTGCTAAAAAGCACAATGGACCTTTACAATTAGCTTGTGCCATGAAGTTACATTGTACAATACTCTGGCTGGTTTCACATCCTAATATGATTCCTTTCTCACGCCTCTATGCTCCATTGATCATCTAATTCAAAAGTACCCCCCTTACATTTGTTTAAATATAAAATGAACCAAGGACAATTTTTGAGAGCTTTGCATTTAGATTTCATTAGTCTGAAGTAGTAAAATAAATGGTCTTGTGTGTATTTGTCTGTATAGAATCATGGACTGGTTTGGGTTGGAAGGGACCTTAAAGGTCTTCTCATTCCACCCCCTGCCATGGGCAGGGACACCTTCCACTAGAGCAGGTTGATCCAAGCTGTCCTTGGACACTTGCAGGGATCCAGGGGCAGCCACAGCTTCTCTGGGAATTCCATCCCTGCCCGTCCCCACCCTTCCAGGGAAGGATTTCTTCCCAGTCTCCCATCTAACCCTGCCCTCTTTCAGTTGAAAAACCATTGCCCCTTGTCCTGTCCCTCCAGGCCCATATCAAAAGTCCCTCTCCCTCCTTTTTATAAGCCCCCTTCCCTGGTGGGGTGTCTTCAGCTCCTCCCAGGACCTGTGTGTGTTTGTATCTATCTTGTATCTGTCTATATTTATAGACAGGATATATTTTAATACATTTCTATCCATATATTTAGACATAGATATTTATACACTGTAAATATTAATGCACACCTATCTACACAATGATGTTGACTTTGTGTCCAGACCTACCCCTTCCCCTGTGTAACCTTTTTGGGGGGTTTATTCCTTGGGATTTCCAGGGTCTCACTTTCAGTGGAGCAGATCTTTCCCACCTGGATCTTTGCTACATCAACTTCAAGGTGGCCAATCTGAGCCGCTGCAACCTGGCCCGTGCCAACCTGTGCTGTGCCAGCCTGGAGAGGGCTGACCTGTCAGGCTCTGTGCTGGATGGAAGAGCTGCTGCAGCTTGGGAGGGCTGGGCTTGTGTTAACAGAGAGGAGCTGGAACAAACAGAGGGGTGTAAAACATCGAGTTCTTAAATATATTCTAGAGTTGTTCTGGTTCCCAAAGCTTTTACACTTCCTCCCAGTAATGATTTAATGGGATTGACTCCCAAAGCAGAAATTAAAAGTGTCTTCTTGATTGTCTTTGGTGTTGTTCCTCTGGCTCTCAGTGACTCCTGTCTGTGCCAGTGTGCCAACCTGCCAGGGGTGAAGATGCTGCGCTCCAACGCAGAGGGAGCGTCCCTGAAAGGCTGCAACTCTGAGGACCCATCAGGCCTTCAAGCTCATCTGGAAGGTGAGAAGCTTTTGCCTTGTGAATCTGTGCCAACTGAAGCCTGTGTTTGTGCATTTCTATGGCCCAGAAAAGGTCCAGCTGTGGTTTGTCCAACCCTGAGAAGGGCCCACAAGGGCTGCACTGAGTCTGTGACCATCTCAGCCCCAAATCCCCTTGTCCTCCTCCAATTCACACAGCTCTGAGGCAGCACCAGTGTGCAGCTGCTGTGTTTCTGACTGGTTTTCCTCACAGAACCCCTTTCTGTGTGTGTTCCAGGTGCCAGCCTGAAAGGAGTGGCCATGGAGGGCAGTCAGATGACAGGAATGAACCTCCGAGTTGCAACGCTGAGAAACACCAAACTAAAGAACTGAAACCTCAGGGGAGCAACGTTGGCAGGAACTGATTTGGAAGTGAGTTGGGATTCATTTTCCATCCTATTCCTTTCTCTCCTATCGTCAGCTGGTAATTGGGTGGAGTGCTGGCTTTTGGCTGACCTCTCCAGCTTCAGAGTACAATGGAGTTCAGGTAAATGGACTTCAAGTAAAGCTTTGAACAGAGTTCTGGGTGCATTCCATTGACACTTTTTCTTTTCCCCTTCCCAATTGTGACCTATCAGGTTGTGACCTCCAGGAAGCCAATTTGAGGGGCTCTGATGTGAAAGGAGCCATCTTTGAAGAGATGCTGACCCCCCTGCACATGTCCCAGAGCTTCAGATAGGGAAGAGAAGACGTCAAAGAGGAAGGAATCCAAACATTTGTTGTGACTTTCTTCACCTCCTCCCCTTCCTGAGTTAGAAGGAATGGTTATTAGACAACTTCCATTTGCAGTAGTGCCTAAGCAGACTCTTTTTGATCACTTTTGGGGAGGGAATTTTTGTTTCAGAGGTGGAAAGAGAGAGTTTCTCCCTTTGTGAAGAGAGTGAGGAAGTGGGCTGGTTCTGAAACCAGAAAGTGGGGCTGGTTTGGGGGGGAGGGTTCAAGACTTTCCTTGTTTAGCATTGCCTGACTTTGGAATGCATTTTAATTTCTAAAGCACAATATATGCAATTCTATTTGTTAAGTCTGTAGCTGCAATATGAATAGAAAATGTTATTGCTGTATAGTAGCAAACAAAGTGGAGGTTTCCAGGTAGACAAGTGTCTTTACAGTCAGTGTCTTCATTCCTACAGGGTGTTAATGCCAGGGGTGGTCACACAGTGCCCACAGGATGTGTTCAGGTCTCTGCTGGGGTGGAAACAGTGGGGAACTGTCCTCAGAGGTCCTAAATTGCTGTGGAGTAGTTGGAGGGCAGGGTTAGAGCAGCTTTATCCCCTCAAATGTGCAGAGGAAGCTGCTGCCCCTGCAGGGCCCTGCCCAGAGCCCGGATTGAGTTCCCCCTGGAAGATCCCTGGGCAGAAATGGGATGTCTTTGTTAATGCTCTCCAAAGGAGTGTGAAATTGCACTCTCAATCCCAGCTGGGAAGAAAAATTCCCCTGCTTCCACATGTCCTGGCCACTCCAGACTGGAGTTCCTGTAGTTTTTTCCTTCTTTGTTGGGAATTCAATGGACAGAGGAAAACACAGAAGTGTCCCCAAAGCAGAGAGAAGCTCTGGGGCCACAGCACCTGCTCCCCCCTCTTCTCATCTCTGCAGTAGATGAAGAAATGGCCCTCAATGTTTCCCCTCAGTGTACTCTTCAAATCCTCCTTGAAAGAATGGGCATAATCCCATTTGCCAGCCAGATCCACTTTGTGTTGCTTAAAGTGGCTGTAAAAGCCTCTTGCCTGGGGCCAAGTGCCCCTTCCACACTTGCTTCACCTGTGGAAAAAAGCAGGGAAAGCTGTTTTTTGTGTGGGCACCCTTCAAATCTCAGTGTTTGTGATCTTGGGAATCCTCTTGGACCTGGAACAATGGCAGATTATCTGTTGTCATGAGATTTGTACCTGGAGATTGTTTTGATCTGTGTTTAAATCTTCCTTGAAAATACCATTGATAGAAAACAATGTAAAAAAAAAAAGGAAAAAGAAAAAAAAAGACAAAAAGGCCATACGAAGAAAAAAAGGGAGGAAAAAGAGAAAAAGGAGAAAAAAGAGAAAAAAAAGACAGAAAAACAGGAAAAAATGAGACAAATAATAAAAAAGAAAGAAACAAGAAAAAAGAGAAAAAAGAAAACGAGAACGAAAAAAGAAAAAAGAGGAAAAAAGGAAGGAGAAAGAAAAAAGAAAAGGAAAAATAAAGAGAAAACAGATGGAAAAGACAGAAAAACAATAAAACCAAAAAAGTATTATCCTCACTCCGTTCACGTGCAAATGGCCGCTCTGATCCGCCGCAAGGACTACAACTCCCGTGCTGCCCCGCGCGGCGCGCAGGAGTGACGGCTAACGTAAGGGGGCGTGGCCGCGCGCTGATTGGCTGCGGCGGTGTTCTCTAAAGGCGGTGCGCGCGCAGAGCGGGAATCGGTGATGGCGGCGGGTCCTGCCTTTGTCTGTGAGAGCTGGCGGGGGGTGCGGGAGAGCGGGGTCTGGGGATCCCCTCGGGGGCTGCGGGGAGCGCGGCTGTGGGGGGAAAGGCTGGAGGGCTCGGGAGGGTTTAGCGCGGGGGTTCAGGGGTTCCCGAGGGTCAGAGCGCAGGGCCTTGGAACCGTCTCGGGGGCCGCGGGGCCCGGGGGCCTCCCAAGAACCCGGATGTTCGATTCGATTGCCGAGAAAATCCCTCGGAAAAAACATTCAAAACCACCCAACGAAAAAAAGAACCCTAAAAAAAGGAAAAGTGAGAAAAAGGTGAAGAAAAACTGGAAGGGCCAGGATGATTTTATTGCTTTGCTTCAATTTTTCCTCCTCAGATTTTCTGCTCCCTTCCTTTACAGAAAGCTTTTCTGCTGTTCTGTGGTTTTGGGGTCCCTTGGGGGCTTTTAGGGGTCCCTGAGGAGGTTTTTGAGGGTCTCTGAGGGGATTTGGTTTCCTGAGGGGACTTAGGGAGGTGGTTGAAGGTCCCTGAAGGGGTTTGGGAATCCCTGAGGGAGTTTTGGAGTCTCCGAGGGAATTGGGAGGTCCTGGGGGGCTTGCAGGGGGTGTCTTTGAAGGAGTTTTCTGGGTTTCTAGAGGGATTTCAGAAGTCACAGACGGTTTTGAGGGTCCCTGAGGGGGTTTTTGGGGTCCCTGAAAGGACCTGGGGGGTCCCAAGTGGGTTTTGCAGGTCACTGAGAGGGTTTAGGGGGTCCTGGAGGGGGATGAGGTCTCTGAGGGTATTTGTGGGGTCTTTAAGGAGGTTTTGATGGGTCCAGAGGTGGATTTCTGAGGGGATTTCAGGGGTTTTGAGGAAATTTTATGGGGTCTCTGTGTCAGTGGACTGACCCCAGGGAAAGAGGATCCCAATTCCCCCCCTGAGCCTCAGAGACCCCCAACACTCAGCACACAGAGACCCCAGAGGGAAGGGGGCCCGGGGGTCCCCTAAAGCCCAGCTGTGGGGTTCAGGGGGTCCCCCAGCTCCCAGGGGAGGGGTCCTGTTGGTGCCCCCAAAAATCTGGGGAGGGGGATGTACCACATCTGGGTAAGGGGATCCCAGTACTCCAGTATATCCCAGTGACCCTCAGTATAGCCCAGTAACCCCCTCAGTGACCAGCCAGTGTGTCTCAGTGACTTCCCACTGCCCCCCAGTAAGGCCCAGTGATCCTGCGGTGAGCACCCAGTAACCCCCAGTATGGCCCAGTAACCTCCCAGTGTCCCCCTGTGTGTCCTGGTAATCCCCCAGTCCCTCCCAGTGCCCCCTGGTTCCCCCCACTGTGTCCCAGTATCCCCCAGTAATCCCCCAGTGCCCCCCAAAGCCTCCCAACTGTCCCCAACATGTCCCCAGATGTCCTTGGCCTTTCTGTGAGGGGGGGAGGAGTGTTTTTGGTCAGAGGGTCCAGGGGGGGCTCCTGGAGTGAGATGGAGGGTTGGGGACATCAGGGATGGGGTTTGGGGACAGTGGAATTGGGGATGCCAAGGGGGGAACTGGGGACACCGAAAGGGTCTTGAGGACACGAGGGGGATCTCAGGACTCACCTGCTCTTGGTGTAGGCCCTCCTCTCCCCTTCTAGGCCCCATTAACCCCCTCAAATGTCCCCCAACTCCCCTTTTTTTCCTTTAATCCCCTCCCCCCCAGATACTTTTGACTCCCCAATGCCCCCAAGATCCTTTTAACTCCCCCAAATTCACACAAAGCCCCTCAAAACCCCCCAAGTCCCCATTGAACCGCCTCCCCAGATCCCCCCAAATCTCCCCAAGTCCCCACCTCAAATCCCTTCCAACCCCCCTCTAAGAGGGATCACCTTGCACCCTGGGACAGGAACACAGTGGGCTGTACTGGGGGCACTGGGCTGTACTGGGGGCACTGGGGGGGGCTCAGGTGTCCCAGGACAAGGTGGCCCAGCTCCAGGAGAGATCTGGGGAGCAGTGAGGAGGTACTGGTCTGTGCTGGTCTGTCCTGGTCTGTCCTGGTCTGTACTGGTCTGTCCCCCCAATCCCCAAAGCCCCTCCCCAGCTCCCCCAAGACCCTCCTGCACCCCAAAGCCCCCCAGGCCCCCCCAGGCCCCTGACTTGGTCCTGCTGCCCCTTGAGCATCTGCAGCTGCTGCAGAACCAGGCATTTCATCAGCAAATGTGCAGGTGACCCCAAGCTGGGGGTGTGTTGATGTGCTGGAAGGCAGGAGGGCTCTGGAGCACAAGTGGTGTGAGGAGAGGCTGAGGGAGCTGGGGGTGTTGAGGCTGGAGAAGAGGAGGCTCAGGGGAGACCTCCTGACTGTCTGCAAGTCCCTGCCAGGAGGTTGGAGCCAGGTGGGGGTGGGGCTGTTCTGCCAGGAAGCAGCAGTAGGACAAGAGGGCTGGGTCTGGAGCTGTGCCAGGGGAGGTTTAGGTTGGATATTGGGAAGCAATTTTTTGCTGAGAGAGTAATCAGGCCTTGGAATGGGCTGGGCAGGGAGGGGGTGGAGTCAGCGTCCCTGGAGGTGTTGAAGGTGAGAGTGGATGTGGCATCAGTGCCATGGTCTGGGAAGCACAGCGGGGTTGGATCCAGGGTTGGACTTGATGATCTCGGAGGTCTTTTCCAACGTGGCTGATTCTGTGATTCTCTGATTGCCATTCCTATGGCAGCACATGCTTGAGGCTCCATCCCCAGGGTGATAGAGATGTCTGTCCATATCTATCTGCAAGGTTAGTCTGTAAATGTGTGGTGTTAGAAAAGCAGGCTGAGTTGTGGGCTGGTTGTAGAAGGAGAAAGAAGCCCAGAGGCCAGTGCAAGCAGGCAGCCCTCAGCTTGCCCATGATGTCCCCTCCCTGCAGGTTCCTGTCCTTGAGCCCAGGCCCTGAGGTGAGGCTGAGAAGTGGCGCGGAGGTGAGCCCAGAGCTGTCCCTGAGGTGAGGCTGAGAATAAGTGCAAGGCAGAGGTGCTGCTGAGGAAGGAGAGCCCTGTGGTGGGGAAGAAACAAAGCTGTGAGTGCCCATCCCCGAGCAGGTGCTGTGTCCATCCCCTGTGTGCCAGGTGAGCTGGGGCTTTGCTGCAGAGCTGCGGGCGCTGATTTGAGCGTCTCCAAGTGCTGAGATGGTGGGCACCCAGGAACACCAACTGTGCCTGGCCACGGAGCCTGCAAGGAGGAGCAGAGACAGCCCTGGCAGTGTGGGGGGCCAGGTTGTCCCTGTGCCTTCCCCTGCAGGCCCTGGCTGTCCCTGCTGGGCCCCTGTCCATCCCCATCAGGTCCCTGCCCGTCCCCCGGGCTGAGCTCCCCCCAGGAAGTGCCGTGGAGCTGAAGCTGCTGCCATCCCCCCCTGCAGCCGCTGCCCCAGGCAAGGGAGCAGCAAAGGCAGGGCCAGGAGCAGA